CGCAAGGCAGCCGTATGGTAATCGTTTTGGTTGTCGCAAAGTAGTCGTAAGGTTCTCGTGTGGTAGTCGTATGGCGCCCATATGGTAATTGTATCGTAGTCGTATAGTAATCACGTGGCAATCGGCAGTCGTACGGCAATCTGATGGTAGTTGTGGGGTAATCGCACGGTATGGTAATCGTATGGTGGTCATATGGTAATCGCATGTTAATCGTATGGTAGTCGTATGGCTATCGTATGGTAGCCGTATGGTACTCGTATGGCAATCGCATGGTGACCGTTATGGTCGCCGTATGGTGCTTGCATGGTAATCGTATGGTTATAGCAACCGTATGGTAATCGCATAATCAATCGCATGGTAGCCGTACGGAAACCGCGTTGTAATCGTATGGTAGTCGCATGGTGATCTATGGCAATCGTATGGTAGTCGTATGGTAATCGTACGGTAGTCGTGTGGTATGGTAGGCGTATGGAGATCGTGTGGTAATGGTATGGCAATCGTATTGTAATCGTATGGTGGTCGCATCGTAGTCGAGGGGTAGTCGTATGTATTCGTGTGGTAGTCGGATGGTAATCGTATGGTTTGTCGCATTGCAGCCGGATGGTAATCGTATGGTATCGCAGAGTAGTCGTGTGGTAGTCGTGTGGTTTTCCGTATGGTACTCATACGATTATTCGTATGGCTTTCGCTTGGTAATCTTATGGCTATCGCATGGTAATTGCTTGGTAATCTTATGGTTTCGCATGGTAGCCGTAGGGCTTTCGTAGGGTAATCGCATGGCAATCGTATGGTATCGTATGGCTTTCGTATGGTAGTTGCATGGTTTTCGCATGGTTTCCGTATGGTTTTCGTAATGTAATCGTGTGGTCATCGTATGGCTATCGTGCGGTAGCCATATGGTAGCCGAATGGTAGTCGTACGGTAATCGCTCGGTAATCGTATGGTAACCGTTTGGTATTCGTATGGTAATTGTATGGTAATCTTATGGTAGCCGTATGGTAGTCGTATGGTAATCGTGTGACAGTCGTATGGTAATCGTACGGCAATTGTGTGGTAATCGTATGACAATCGTGTGGTAAGTGTATGGTAATCGTACGGTAGTCGTATGGTAACCGTATGGTTCTGTATTTTCTGGTATGGTGGCCGTATGGTTTTTTGTATGGTTTTCGTATGGTACTCCGATAGTTGCCTCATGGTCACCGTATGGTGATCGTATGGTAACCGTATGGTAGTCGTATGGTAACCGTCTGGTGGTCGTATGGTAATCGTGTGGTAGTTGTACGGTAATCGTATGGGAGTCGTATGGTAATCGCATGGTTATCATATGGTAGTCGTATGGTAGTCGTGTACTTTTCGTGCGCGGCGGCTCCTCCCTCCAGGATCCCACCCACCCACCCCTCCAACCCTCCACCGGATAAGTTGGGCAAGCAGAGTGAAGTCAGCCCTAGTAGTAGTAGGTACAGCAGTAGTAATATCATGACCAGTATCAGTAGTTATCGGGATAGTAGTAGTAGTAGTAGTAGTAGTAGTAGTAGTAGTAGTAATAGTCGTCGCCGTAGTAGTGGTCGAGGGAGTAGGTGGAGTAGTCGAAGACGGTTGTGGTTTTTAGTCGCAACCGTAGTAGTAGTAGTAGTAGTAGTAGTAGTCGTCGTCGTCGTCGTCGTCGTAGTAGTAGTAGTAGTAGTAGTAGTAGTAGTAGTAGTAGTAGTAGTAGTAGTAGTAGTAGTAGTAGTAGTAGTGTAGTAGTAGTAGTAGTAGTAGTAGTAGTAGTAGTAGTAGTAGTAGTAGTAGTAGTAGTAGTAGTAGTAGTAGTAGTAGTAGTAGTAGTAGTAGTAGTAGTAGTAGTAGTAGTAGTAGTAGTAGTAGTAGTAGTAGTAGTAGTAGTAGTAGTAGTAGTAGTAGTAGTAGTAGTAGTAGTAGTAGTAGTAGAGTAGAGGAGGAGGAGGAGTAGTAATAGTGGTACTAGTAGTAGTAGTAGTAGTAGTAGTAGTAGTAGTAGTAGTAGTAGTAGCCGTAGTGGGGGTAATGGTAGTGGTCGTAGTAGCGCAGGTAGTAGTAGTCGTCGTCGTCGTAGTAGTAGTAGTAGTAGGAGTAGTAGTAGTAGTAGTAGTAGTACCAGCAGTAGTAGTAGTGGTAGAGGTACTTGTAATAAGACTAGTAACAATGGTCGTCTTCGTAGTCGCCGTAGTTGTCGTCGTAATAGTGAAATAGTAGCAATAGTAATCGTGATATGAGAAGTGGTAGTAGTAGTAGTAGTAGTAGTAGTAGTAGTAGTAGTGGTAGTAGTAGTAAAAGTAGTAGTAGTAGTAGTAGTAGTAGTAGTAGTAGTAGTAGTAGTGGTGGTGGTGGTGGTAGTAATAGTATAGTTTTAGTAGTCGTAACAATACTACGACAACTACTGGAACTATTACTACTACAGCCCCATAGTACACATCAACAAGTAATGGCAGTAGTAGTAATAATAGCTGTACGTATGGTTAGTAGTAGTAGTAGTAGGTCGTAAAAGTAGTCGTGCTAGTAATTGCCGTCGAATGTTTACTAAAAGTAAGAATTGTCGAGTCGTAACTGTAATCGGATGGTCTTCATAATAAATGATGGAGGTAGTCATAGTAAGTGTTGTTGTAGTTGTAGTAGTCGTAATAGTACTTGTAGTAGTAGTAGTAGTAGTAGCCGTAGTCGTACAACTAGTAGTAGTAGTAGCAGTCGTAGAGTAGGTGTCGCACTAGTACTCTTAATCGTGGTAGTAATTATACTTCTAATGATAAGTATCTACCTTTTGTTGTAATAGTAGTAGTCGCCGTTGTAGTAGGAGTAGTAGCAGTGGTCGTAGTCGTAGTAGTAGTCGCAGTAGTAGTAGTAGTAGTAGTAGTAGTAGTAGTAGTAGTAGTAGTAATAGTAGTAGTAGTAGTAGTAGTCGTCGAAGTAGTAGTAGTAGTAGTAGTAGTAGTCGTCGCAGTCGTGTACTTATCGTATTTGTGGTGTTACAGTCGTCGCCGTAGTAGTTGTAATAGTAGTAGTAGTAGTAGTAGTAGTAGTAGTAGTAGTCGTAGTAGTAGTAGTAGTAGTAGTAGTAGTAGTAGTTGTAGTAGTAGTAGTAGTAGTAGTAGTAGTAGTAGTAGTAGTAGTAGTAGTAATAGTGATAGTCGTAATGGTGGTAGCAGTCGCAGTAGTAGCAGTAGCAATAGTAGTAGTGATATGAAAAGTCGCCGTAGTAGTGCAGCAGTAATCGTAGTAATCGTAGTAGTAGTAGTAGTCGTCGTCGTCGTCGTCGTCGTCGTAGTAGTAAAAGCAGTAGTCGCAGTAGTAGTAATGGTAGTTGTAATGGTAGTTATACTCAGAAAGCTGCTTGAGTAGTATGGTTCCGCGTCCGCAGCTAACGGCCAAGTGACAGGGTGCCAAGATAACAGCTCCAGGTTCTGGATGCGTTATCGTTTCACCGGAAGGGGGGGTTCTCAATAACCTCATGATGTTAACCATCAACATCGTCACAATCACCATCATCGTCACCATCACCAACATCAACATCAACATCATCATTATCAACATGATCACCATCACCCTTGTTCCGTGAGGAAAAGGAGGAGGTGGGTGTTCGTGCGTGCGCGCTCGGCGCGGTCGGAGCAATAACAAGAAACCCCTCCTAAGAATATGGGAAATATAACAACCCGATTCTCAAGAGATGGGGAAAACGAACTGGGCAGTGACGATTAACAAACACCTTTCTCGTCTGGATCGCTGGCTGCGGCCTGGTGGCCACGACGGCGACAACCACGACGAACAGGGAACAAACAATCCATTTTCAACTTTCCAATTGGGCGATGCGACCCCCCCTGACATTCTTAATCGTTAGGTCACGTTGCGCGCCCCGGCTTCCCAATCTCTGGGACGCGGGGGCGTCTGTGCACGAACTCCTTCGAACAAATCCCAGGTTCCTCGGCCGATCAAACGACGCGGCGTATACCTCAGGCCCCTCCCACCGTCTCCCCTCAATGGGTCCCCGACTGTGCCCCTGGTGTTAAGTCGGCATGTCCTTATACATGCGGATTTCGAATGACAAATAACCAACAAATATTCAGAAAATGCTCAACAATATTCAAAAACATCGTCCCCACACTATTTTTTGACTATGTGTGGAGGGTCACGCCCGACTTAACTCTATGGGCCCCCGACTGCGCCCCTGGTTCGTGCCACCGTGCGCCCGCGATCTTTGGCTCGAGCTGAGCGCCCGGCACGCGCGAGGAGGGGCGATCCCGGTAGGGGAGCGGCAAGGCTTCTTGCTGCGCGCAGACAGACCCCAGAACCTCGACGTGCGAGATTTTGCACGCCCGAAGTGGGCACGGAAAGAATGGGTACAAGGCCCAACAACAAATGTTGTCCCAAACCAACAGCGGCCGCTGTTGGGCAAGCGGCCTTGTGTCTCAAATGGACACAGGCCGCGGCGGCGCGGACAGCGAGTCCTGTTCAAATTGAAAGGGAAAAACTGTTGGGCATCGTACCCGCTCTTTCCGTACCCATTCCGTTCGTGCCGAGAGATGCGGGTCCCCGAAGGTCTGACCTCCTGCCGCGGGCCTGGTTCTTCATCCGAGCTGATCTTTGACGGTCCCGGCCACTGGCGAGAGCCCCGGCCCCCAGAGGCCGCAAACGCTCAAAGCCTCTCCGTCGTCTTTCTTCTTCACGGCGCGACCAGGTCGATGACGACGACGCTGACGTCATCGTCATCGTCATCGCCATCGTCGCCGTCATCCATCGGACCAGCGGCAGCCCAGGCAGGTCTCAGCAGCCCCCGTGGGACAGCCGGGGGAGGTCTCCACGCCGCTCGCGCAGCCCCTGGCGGCACCAGCGTGGGGCTCGGCGTGGGGGGCGGTGAGACCGCCCCCTGGGCCAGCCTGAATTGGCTACACTCAGGAGGGGGAAGAACACACAGACACAATTAATCGTCGTTTCCCAGGAAATATGGGAAAATATGGGAAGTGCGGGGGAATACAAAAACCCAGAAAATATGGAAGAGAATATGGGGAATCCGGTTATTGTGTATTTTTTTGTGTCCCAGGGCCCCTTCATACACGGGCCCCTCTGCTGAAAGGGGGGGTGGGCAAGGAGGGAAGGGGGGGGGACCAGCTCCCAGGGGAAGCAAAGACCTGGACTCGGCGGCCCGTCGCCGATCGATTGGCGATAGCCTCTCGGGCCGCGCGAAAGGGGGGGATAGCAAAGGGGGGGGGGTGAGAATCAGCTAACGTAGCTGATTCTCCCGGCGCCTCCCGGCGCCGGAAGCGGCTATGTATCGAGGAATGGGCCCCTCGGTGGGGCCGAAACCAGCTGCATGCAGCAGATTTCGTAACCCCCCCTTGCCCAACCCACCCCTTTCGTCCAGCCCGAGCCTCTGAATGGCGAAAAACCGCACGGTTCTGAGCGGGGTGGGCTATCAGGCCCCGGACCCGATTCTCCCCCCAACGTTGCCCGTGGTCTGTGCGCAGCACCAGGCCTTGCCAATCTGGGGGCAAAGATTATGTACGTGCAGCCTGCCGCCGCGGGCGAGCCACTTTATCTGCGCCTCCGCGTGCAGCGATGAATTTCAGTCTTCGGTAGCAACTCGTGGGAGCCTCCCATACCATCTTGTCGAAACTTGCGAATCGACGATCGTCGACGCCAAATCGACGCTCATCGACGCTACGCCGACGTCCATCGAAGCTACACAATGCCAACTCGGCGCTGTCTCATCGATTCCCAGACGCTAAATAATCGACGCTATAGTCGACGCCAAAAAGACGGAATTGAAAGGGTATACCGGGCTCCCAGGATTTGCCACCGGATCTGCCGCCGCGGGCGAGCCACTTTATCTGCGCCTCCGCGTGCAGCGACTAATTTCAGTCCTTCCAGGAAAAAGTTCCAGCTGCGACGAGGCCTGCGCGGCTATACAGTGGCGACGGTGCGCGCCGAGACCCGCCCCGCGCCCCGTGCCGGCCGCGCGGGGCGTGCATGCGCAAAGAAGGCAGCTCGCCCGTGCACCACCGTGCCCTGCCAGGGACATCCTTGGGCCCTGGCGTGGTGTACGGCCGGACCTACACGTCCCTCCTCGAAGCCCAAGACCCCCTCCGGCAATGCAAAAATCAGAACGGGAAGTTTTTCCGTATTCTCGGACTCTGGAGGCCCTTACCGGCCCTCGGGACCGTCAAAAACGACTCAGGAAGAAAAACAGGTCCAGGGAATGGGTCGAGACCTCCAGTCGGCGTGATGAGAGAATCATGACGTCGGGGGTACAGGAATCAAGCGCAATTTTTTGATGCTGATCGACGCGCGAAGCGCGACTCATGGGGTCAGATTTCCGTGCTTCCAGTCGCCACTTTCGGCGCGAACATGGGAATTTTGGGGTCCTTCGCCGCCACGTCGTGGGAAAAACTTGCGTTGGATTTCGAGGAGGGATGCAGGACAGAAGAACATCTTTCAAACACATGCGACCCTCCACTGGCCAAAACATCCCGAACCATAAGATCACCGAGGGTGTACAAGAACCTCCAACAAACACGAAAAACAGGAAAGGTCCCCTCACGAACCGGCCTCGATCCTATACCTCGGTCCGACCGTAACTATATGCCGCCTGGGCGGTGCTGGCCAAGCGTGGTGGTGGTGACGTGTAGATGCCTTCCGAAGAGTGCAGGGACTGACACAGGACGGGATGGGGGCGCTGGCGGGGAGGGGAAGCAGGCGGCGCGCAGACCTCAGCTTTTTCCCAAAACCTTCCAGGCAGGTCTGTTCTGTAAGTTTTTGCCCCGGGGTCCGTGTCCACGACCCGAGACACTAAAACAAATTCGGTAGGCGTCGTTTCGGCCGGCGGCGACCCCGCCGGCGGCGTTCGACGTTGAACGCCGCCAGTGACCATGAATCGGTCGATGCTGAACGAGCTGACGCTTCGGGAACGCGGGGGCCGTTCAAAATTGAACGATCCCCGCGGTGTCAGAAACCAACGCCGGGGTCGACACGGCACGTACCTGCAGTGCTCTGGATCTGGAACAAACAAAAAAAAGTCCCCTCTGGACGGGGTGGGAGGACCCGGCGCCAGCGCACTGACGCTAGTGAGAGCTCCGGAACTCTGGGCACGTACAATGGGAGCTCGACCACAGGAAGCCTGCCACAACGAACCCAACCTGGGAACCCCAGGGCGGCCCTTGGTTCTTGGTGTGGGAACGTCACGCTTTCCATAGCAGATCCATCGAAACCCAAGAGAACCAAGGCACCCTGGGGGCAAACAAGGCGTTTCTGCGCATGGGTTTTTCCACTGTCCGTAATTCAAGTCGGCGCCATTCAGAAGGGAATGGTGTTAGGCGGTTGGACAATCCAGAATCGAATCGAAAACTCGGATCGGCGATCGACAAGAATCGGATCGGCGGAAGTCGGCAGCCGAGTCGGGAGAACTCGAATCGGCTGAAAGCGGCAAGCTAGCAGGCTTCCCTTGAGAAGCCAGAGCCCAAATCGCACTCCGAAACGAATCGGAATCAGGAGTCACCGCAACCGAATCGAGTCGGATCAAGCTTCGGAGGAATCGAACAGGAGCCCCAGGAGGGCGGTCTTTGAGGACACAAGGCTCGTCTCAGGTCGGGCATGTCCGCCTACAGGCGGATTTTGGAAGAAAGAAACGAAACGTCGCAAAATAAGATTCAAAAGCGGTAGGGATGTACTCGAAAAAACAGTCCCCCGACTATTTTCATACTATTCTTGACTACTCCTCCTGTACAGGGACATGCCCGACCTGGGGCTCGTCCTGGAGGCCCTCGCCCGCGCTCCGAGAGGCCCCCCTCCCCAGAGGCCCCCGAGCACCCGCTGCCCTGCCGTGAGGCCGCCCCCCCCCCCCGCCTCACACACCCCCTGCGTGCGCCGCCCGGGGAGGGGGGGAAGGGGCCTCCTCCTCCTCCTGCTGCTCCTCCTCCTCCTCCTCCTGCTCCTGCTGCTCCTCCTCCTCCTCCACCTCCTCCTCCTCCTCCTCCTCCTCCTCCTCCTCCTCCCCCTCCTCCTCCTGTGCTGGAGGCCTCCTAGATTGACTACCTAACAGACCACCCCAACCCAACCCGACGAGCCGAATTTCGGGTTGGGGGGGGGGGTACGGGTTCCGCATGTGTGCTTTTTCAATGTCCCCCGAACCCTCCCCACTGGAAGTGCAGGGCAAATCGGTGCCTTCGGGTTTGGTTGGGGTGGTTTGGTGGGCGGTAACAGATGGGGTCGGAGTACAGTGGAGGCCAGTCCACCAGAAACCTCCCACCAGAAGCCCAACCCTGGAATCCCAGGGCGTCCATGGATTTTTGGTGTGGGAACGTCACGCTTTCCATAGCAAACCCTTTGAAACCCAAGAAACCCAGGGCACCCTGGAGGCAAGCAGGGTGTTTCTTAGCACGGTCTCCATTTTAGATGGGGTCGGAGGATCGCGCCGCATCGCCGACACATCGGCGATACATCGCCGATGCATCGGCGATGCATCGGCGACGTCGGCAATGCATCGGCGACGTCGGCGAGGAGAAAATCGGGCTCCGCCTCGAGCCGCAGCGACAATGCATCGGCGATGTGGCGCAATCTTCCGACCCCCTCTACTCCGCTCCCATCCAGGAGGCCTGGAAGGGCAAGGTTAGGGTTGAATGGGGAGCGGGGCCTCTGGCAACGCGGGGCACCTCAGGCCAGGCGGCGAGCGGGAACCGGGGGCGACACAAGTTTTTCATAGTTTTCGGCTTCTGGGAGCCCTCGCCGGGCCTCGAGGCCGTCAGAAAACAACCCGGGATGATAAGCCGGTCCCAGGGAGAGAGGTCGGGAGCCCATGTCTCGAAAGTTAATCGAGACGCTGGATGTCTGGGAATGGGGGGGGGATAAATGTCAGCGGCGAGCCCGGGGGAGGGGGGGGGGAGAAGAGGCGGGCCTTTTCAGAAGGCTCGGAAGTCCCCCTGCCGACTGAGAAGTGTTACAAGACTTTTCCGAAGATGCACAAAACAACTTCTCAGAAGGCGCGAGGGGCTTCCGAGAAGCCCCGCCGTCTTCTGAGAAGGCCTTCTCCTTCCCACTTCCCCCCCTCGCTCGCCGCCGATAAGCGGGCAGGAGGCCAGTCGAGCCCGCCTCAGTCCTCGTAGCTGTCTGGGGCCGCAGCGCGCAGCTGCGCGGCAATCTGCTCCCCGTCGAGGGCACAGCAGGCCGCGTGGGGCATGGCGGTGGCCATCAGATCGGGCACCTGCTGCTGGGGGCTCGGCTCGCACGAGAGCACTTGCTGCTGCTGCTGCGGGGGGGGCACCTGGAAGGACGCCACCTGGCTCTGCCCCATGTCGAAGAAGCTCGCCATGCCAGAGGAGCCACCTGGTTGACCAGGGGCCGACCGTCCCGGCATTCCTATAGGCCTACCACGAACTGTTCTTAGAACCTAGAAATGTTCCAAAAACAAAACCATTTCTCCTAGAATATGAGCCCGACGTGTTAAAACAAGACAGTCTCAGCCAACAGTGTTCTAGGAGCATGTCGTGCAGAGCACGAAGGGTTCTTAGAACATGCTTTGGTAAGCCCATAGGCTATAGGCAAGACAAGACGCTTCGGCACTGCTTGACCTGGGGTGACGAAGCTGGTGCTCGCCATGGTGCTCGTAGAGGAACGAAAACTGACATAAACGTAAAAACTCTGAGGTCTGCGCGGATTTCTCGGATCGGCGCTGGACCCCCCTCGCGCCAGCGGCGGCGCCGGAGGCGCCGCCAGGGGGTCCAGCGCGGATCCGAGAAATCCGCGCGGACCTCGGAGTTGTTATGTTCATGTCATGCTTCGTTCCCCTAGCTCGGGCTCACGTCGGTCCAGGTGACGACCTGCGGCGCGCCGCAGTAGGGGCTGTAGGGCAGTTGCTGCTCGAGCTGCATCACGGGGGGCGTCCTGGCCGCGGCGTCGTGGCCTCGGCGGCAGCACGCTCTCCGCCGGGGGGCCGCTCCAGAGCCCGACCCCGGCCAAGGATCTCGATCCCGGCGCTCCGATCCCCAGACCCCTCGCGCTTTGCGACAAAATCACGACGGGTGGCTTTCGCTATGTTCAGCCTCCAGCCGGCGGCTAATTAGCGGGGGGGAAGTGAGAAGGAGAAGGCCTTCTCAGAAGGCTCGGAAGTCCCCCGGCCTGCGGAGTAGTTCTCTGAGCCTTCCCCGACGACAGCGAACACTTCTCAGGAGGCGAGGGGGCTTCCGAGAAGTCCCGCCGCCTTCTGAGAAGGCCGTCTCCTTCTCATTTCCCCCCCCCCCTCGCTCGCCGCCGATCCAGGGGCCCTTGCCGGGCCTCGGGGCCGTCAAAAAGCGACTCGGGATGAACAGCCAGTCCCAGGGAAAGGGGTGGAGACGACCTCTGGGGGTCGACGCCGTGAACGAATCACGACGTCGGGGGTCACTGTCCCCATCCAGCCGGCCCAGCCTGGAGCGGCGAACGCTCTTCGGCGACCCTGCAGGTGCGTGCCAACGTCAACCTGTGCTGATCCACAGAGGCCCTTCTACGAATGGGAAGAGCGCGCGCTGCAGCGCGGGCGGCCCAGAGGGGCGCTAGCGCCATGGGCGGGGGCCACCGAGGCAAACCTGCACTGGGCGATCCTGCGCTCCATGCAGGCCGCGAGCCCGACCGGTCGCCCCCGGCCCCATCGCCGACCGATCGACTGGCCGGCACATCGGAGCCGATCAAACCGCTACCAGGAGGCCGGAAGCCTACGAGAGCCACATCCGCACGCAGAACATGCTGAGGCCGCGTGCTGGATACACGTGTGGAGGGCCAGCGTGCCTGGCCGCATGCGGGCCGAGCTCTGGACAGGCGCGCGATCACATGTAGCGGGCCCCGGAAACCCTGAGCACCAGAAGCTTGCAGTCCCGTTCTGGAGGCCGATGTTTGCTTCCGCCGGCTCCGCGGGCTTCCGCCGCCCTGCCGCCGCCTTCCGCCGAGGAAGAGGTCCCAACTTCTTCTGTCCTGGAAGGGCGAGGCCCGCTCTGGAATGCCCCGTGTGCGCCCAGCTCTCGCCCCGGCTGGCCAACCACATGCTGACCCAGGTCCCAGTCGGATCGGGCAGCATGACCGATCCAAGCCTCGGCGGTCCGCGGCACACAGCCGATCCCCATCGGCGGATCGAATCGCGCGGGGCGCCTGGGGGGGCGTGGCCGGGGCCCATCTGCGTGGGGACGGCCCCGAAGGACAGCTGCATCGGCGGCATCCCCTCGGTCCATGCCCGGGGCTTATCCGTGTCCACCGACTTGGAGCCGCGAAGGGGCAACTCCTGGGAGGTCTTCGTGGGCACGTGTGGAAACTTTTAGGCTTGGCTTGGGGGGGTTACACCAAAATAATAGGATCAAGCCCAATCGGATCAGAGAAGCTAGGCTGAGGGACCACACTAAGACGGACTAATACCAGGAACATACCAGGGCCGATGCTCAACCCAACCTCCCTGGAGTTGCAACCTAAGCGACGCGCCCCAGATGATCTCGCGGGGCGTTGAACGTGGATACTTGTTGTAAATATGCCATGCCCTCACGGAGCGGGGAGGTGCCCACGTCCAGCGCTACCCCGAGATCCCTCGGGCTCACGAGTCGATGGGCACGGCAAGCTCACGGCGTGATGACCTGGGCTTTAGTTTCCGACGCTCCGTGGGTCGATCAATCTTGAGCGATCGCCGCGTTCCGCCGTCGGAGCTCGCTCAAGACCAGCCGAAGCCAGGCAGCTGGTGGAATCTGGCCCTCAACGCCGGCGGTGGCGTCGCCGCTGCGCCGAGGCAGCGCAAAAACTACCGTGAGGAGAGATCCCGGGCGTGGGTCCCGCGGGTACGTTCCGCGCAGGGCATCCGCACAGAAGCAGCCCTGCATCCATGGACAGGATCAGCCAGCATCGAATCGTGAGATCGGATCGGGTCGAAATATGCGTCGGGTCGGGTTGCACCGGCACGGCATCGAAATCGAATCGGATGGGCTGCGCCAGGATGCACAAGAAGGCATGCCAAGTACAGTGGAGGCCAGTCCACAAGAAACCTTCCACAAGAAACCCAACCCTGAGACACCAGGACGTCCATTGGTTTTTGGTGTGGGAGCGTCGCGCTTTCAAGTCGGGTGTGTCTTGGCATGAGTCTCCACTGTAAGCACTCCCCAAAGGTACAACGAGAACAACTTTTCAGAAGGCGCGAGGGGCTCCTGAGAAGTCCCGCCGCCTTCTGAGAAAGCGTTCTCCTTCTCACTTGCCTTAGGTCGGGCATGTCCCCCTACAGGCGGATTTTGGACGAAAAGTTCAAACAACAATTTGAAAACAAAACATCGAAAATAGTAGACAAGTCGTCCCTACACTATTCTTGCCTATTTGGGGATATTCCCCCAGTAGAGGGACATACCCGAATTGACACTTGCCCCCCCCCCCCTTCGCCCGCTGCCGATCCAGGCACCCGAACATGTGTGTTTGTATTCCGTGCATGGGCGACAGCCTTCTCGACCCCACTCCCTGGGGGGGTTCTCGTCCCTGGGTCTCCTGTGGGCAGCCCCGGGGCACGAGCACACGCCCCAGAGCCCGACATCGAGGACAACGCCACGACGGACAAGATTCGAGCATGTTTGAAGGGGCCCACGCATGAATAGACATAAATACCAGGGTTTCAAATATTTGTCAATACTTTTTGTGGGTTTTCGTCTTCCCCCCCCCCACTTCCAATATTGTCCTGGGAATGTTTACTTGTGTCTGTATGTTTCTTCCACTCCAGAATTTGAATTGTGTTGGATGGGTATCTCAAGCTCTCCGCTGCCTCAAGCGGTGTGCGTTCAGAGCTGAAGCACACAACAGAGCCACAGGGCAGCGTGGCATTGACGGTGTAGCTCCGCATGTGTCAAATACTCAGGAGAGCCCGGACAGCGAGGCACTCACAGTGCAACTCTCGACAACACGCGAGAGCGACCCTAGGCAAGAGTGACCTTGGGTGCGCGACTTTAGGAGAGGCGCGGGGGAGCCAAACCCAAGAGCGCAGGGCACTCAACCGTCTGGTGACCCCCATTTGCCCGCACCAAAGGTCACTCCGGCGAGAGGTCACTCTTACGTGGCGGATTTCGGAAACCCTGAACCAAAAACGTCTTCATCTCTTGGGGGCACATCTTTTCCTTCTGCCGCCTTCCGCCGAGCTTCTGCCAGCACCTCCGCCGACCTTCCGCCGCGGAAGAGATGGCAACTCCTTCGACCCTCGAAGGCGAGGCCCTCTTTGGAACGCACCACGTTCGGGGGGGCAGAAAGGTGCGGTAGGGGCTAAGGTTGGGTTGGAAGGAAAGTCCCTCTGGACGACCCCTGGAAAAAAAGAAACGCGTTCAACGGAAGTATCCGGCTGGGCCCGTTCCCCAGCCCCACCTCGGGAGCGGCCAAAAGGGGGGTGTCAAAGAGGGGGGGGCAGGCAAATCATGACCGGCGGCATGTGCGCGGCCCAGCGGGGGGACCAGGGACGTAATGACATAAGAGGAGGCGCCATGAGACCTGGGGAGATATCGTGGCCCCCGCCATGATATCCACCCCCCCCTGGTCATCACCACCCTCTTTGCCGCCCCCGGTTGGGATAGCCCTCCCTCTACGAGCCCCCTGGCAGCTGCAGCTCGCCCGTCAACGCAACACGGCTCGCCAGGCCGAGGCCTTCTGGCCCGCCCCCCCCCGCCCCCCAGAGGCGTGGCCTTGCCCGACGGGGAGCCGCACGGCGAGGCCAGCGGGCTGCCGCCCGGGGTGGCGCCGCTGTGCACGCGGTGCAGCGCGTCCACGCCGCTGGCCCGCAGCCGCTCGCGGTAGCTCGAGCCGCCAGCCCCGGGGCTGCTGGAGAGCAGCGCCCGCGCAGGGGACCCCACCTGCTCAGAGTCGGCGGGCGCGGGGGGGGCAGGGCAGGAGGGGAGGGCCTCCTCGGAAGGCCGAGGGACGTCCCAAAAGCCCATCGCGCCTTCTGAGAAATTGTTTGACATGTGTCCCGACGCGCGGCATCGATGTTTTTCCCGACGCGCTTTGTACGGAAATCGGTCATTTCCCCGGCGCGAGGCGCACGGCGTGTCATAATCCGCGCGGCAAAAACACAGAATTGCAAAGCGTGATCTGTTTGTTCTCCTGCGTCTTTGCTCGTCAATGGCCATGATGTTTGCCTTGTCGCCTTTCCGCTTCCAGTTGGCTTCTGCGGCCTCCAAATATGGCCCAAGAGAGCCCAGAGAGTGGCCCACACGAGCTCCACGGTGGCTTTTGAGAGCGCCCAAGGGGCCCCAAGAGCGCCCCAAGAAGCGAGTAGTCGGGCCCCAGATTGGCGGCGAGCCCAGGGGGGAGTGAGAAGGGGCGGGCCTTCTCAGAAGGCTCGGAAGCCCCCCGATCTGCTGATAAGTTTTCTCAGACTTCCCCGAAGACGCAAAAACTTCTCAGATGGCGCGAGCGCTTCTGAGAAGTCCCGCCGCCTTCCGAAAAGGCCTTTTCCTTATCACTTACCCACCTCGTTCGCCGCCGATTTTTTGATCGATGTCCTCCGAGGTTGCTCCAGAACGGCTGCCAAGGCCTCCAAGAGGACCCCAAGAAGGACATAAATAAGAGGGCCCCAGGAGAGCCCAAAGGCTTCCAAGACGGCCCCAAAGCTGCCCAAAAGGCCTCCAAACTTGCCCTGAGAAGGCCCCACGATTGTCACACCAGATGCCCAGCAGCTAGAAGCCAGTTTTGGCTGTGGCGCAGGCATGTCTAGGCACGAGGCGGCCGAGGGATCGCCGCCCAGACTGGCGGCTACGAAAAGCCAGCGCGCCACGATTGCTTCACAAAAGCCTCCGAGGGGCTCCAAGAGCAAAAGGCCCCCAAAGGCCTGGATGGTTGACTCTACTTGTCGTCGTCGTGGTCATCTCGGACGTCGCCGCCTCCGTCTTTGTCGTCATCATGGTATATGTATGATGTATTATCCTCCATGTCCTCTCTTCCTATGTTTTCCTAATGAACATGTCCTTCCTGTCGCACCCCGGGGCCGGTCGAATGGGCGGGCGTTTCGCCTGAGGCTTCCTCAGCATTTACGACCCTGAAGCTTGAGCACGTGTACCTGTTTCAGAGAAGAAGGGCGGCTCGCTTCCGATATGTGGATATCGCCTTGGTGCCGCGCACATTGCTTCTTAACAATTGCAAGAGCTTCGCATATTGAGGGCGGGTCGTTTTCAACATGTGGCTCTCGTCTGAGCGCAGCGCATATTTTTTAAAAGCATTGCAAGAGCTTCGGGGACTGAGGGTGGGTCATTCTCAAAATGTGGCTCTCGCCTTGGCGCTGCGAACATTCGTTTGACTTGCAAGAGCTTCACGGATTGAGGGCGTTTTCCTTTTTTATTCCAAATGTGGCTCTCGCCTTCGCGCCCAGCACATTAGTTCTGCAAGCCCGCAAGAGCTTCACGGATTGAGGGCGGGGCATTTTCTCAAAATCTGGCTCTTGCCTTGGCGCCGCGAACAGTTGTCTTAAACACAAGAGTTTCACGGATTCCCATGGTCAACCTTACAGACATATTGGTGTTTCAGAAGGAATCAGAATTGTAAGGGCGCAGCAGTTCCGTGGATTCGGGGCGCAGCAGTTACGCGGATCAACAGTGTTGATGTCCCAGGAAGGGGCGTTCTGGCAGGATCACTTGATTCGTGGCGTCTGAGTCCCAAGAACGGTGTTCTGGCACGCGCCATGATCTTCACATGGTTCTCCTCATGAGGCAATTCCCTTAGTGAAGATGAACTCTTGTAGGGGCTCTGAAGAGTGAGCTTGGAGGGATAATTGATTCGAACATCGTTGATGGGTCTTGGGTTTACACTGGTAAACCTTCTCCTCCTCATCGTACTCCTCCTCATCCCACATGTTCATGTTCCTTCTACTCCTCGTTATTCTCCTCCGCGACACCTGCACCAACTCTACGTCCCCTGGGGCTCACTCAAAAATGAGTGGGCACGTATTCCGTCAATTCAGGACCCTCACTTGTTGACCAATGGCCTCTAGGATGGCTCCAAACGGGTCCCCCATGAACCAAAGAGAGCCCCAGGACGCCTCCAAGGTGGCGTCGAATGCGCCTTTTATGCTTGACCTGTCGTCGTCGCCTTCGTCCTCCCGAATCCTCCTCATGTGTCCTTCAATTTCTCCTCATCCTCCTCCTCCCACCTCGGATTTGCCAGAAGTTTAGTTCGAATGTGTGAGGTCAATTACCTCTTCCTTCTCTTCTTCGAATTGATTTCACTCCCACTCCTCACCCTCCTCCTCCTCCTCCGCCTCTTGCCTCCACCCTCCTCCTGCTCGTCCTCCTCCTCCTCCTCTTCCTCCTCCTCCTTCTCCTCCTCATCCCTCCTCCTTCGCCAAAAGCGCCGCTGAGGCATATAGTTCCCCCCCCGATCTGCTCAGGCTGATCCCGAGCTTCGCATTGACAGCTGCCCCATCTTTGTTCTACTGCTGGCTCCTACATCTCACTGTGACAGACAAACCGGCTGGGCATAGTTTCTGGATGGGCGGGTGCACGCGAAGTGTCAAACATCACAGCGCTGACCACAGAAGTCCCCGCCGACCTCTGACACCGCCTGTTCGGGTCGCTCGTCCTTTGTCGTCAACTTATTTTCGTATCCGTCTTCTTCCTCAACTCCCTCGTATCTTATTATTCGTATCATTGTTCTTCGTCATGTTCGTCCCTTCTTCGTCGTTTCTTCTTCTTCGTCGTCCTCTTCTTTTTCTTATTCGTCTTATTCTTCTTCGCGCGAGCGTGTGTGCACACGCCTGTCCGAGGCCACGGGGTGCGCGGGTATCCAGCACCAAGCGTCGACTGGACTCGCGGGGGTGGGATTCGCAACGGGTCGCAGCGGAGGGTGGCCCTGGCCAGGGCAGCATCATCATCAGCATCATCATCATCAGCATCAGCATCATCAGCATCATCATCATCAGCATCATCGTCATGATCATCATCATCATCGTGATCAGCGATGCCGTCGCCATAGTCGACGTCGCCATCATCAACAGCAGCATCATCATAATAATCACCACCACCACCATCACCATCATCATCATCATCAGCATCATCATCATCCTCATTATCATCATCAGCACCATCATCATCATCCTCATCATCATCATTATCATCCGCATTATATCATTACTATCATCATCATCGTCATCATGAGCCATCATCGTCATCATCATTAGCATCATCAGCATTATTATTAGTGACCGATCCTCTTACACGGGGCCAGGGGGCAGCTTTTTCTCAGGAGGAGGTGAGGCAGCCGGGCTCTTGCGAGGCAGAGGCGGAGCTAAGGGTGCCGAGCCTCCAGTACCCCTGAGGGTAGAGAAAAAAGAAAAGAAGGCGAAAGCGGGGTGGGTTCGCAGCAGGGTGGGAGCTTGAGCCGCAGTGTCATGCGGCCCCGCTCACCCCTCTCCCACTTACTGTATTTAATTCAGACAGTGACCGATCCTCTTACACGGGGCCAGGGGGCAGCTTTTTCTCAGGAGGAGGTGAGGCAGCCGGGCTCTTGCGAGGCAGAGGCGGAGCTAAGGGTGCCGAGCCTCCAGTACCCGAACCCGACTGGTCAACTGGCCGTAGGCCGCACACCATATATTTCATTCATTCTGATCTGTTTGTTGTTGTTTATCACATCCATAAGGTATCGCCCCATCGTATTGCAAAATTGTGTAGGGTAGGCGGCAGCGATAGCAGTCCAATGGATACCTTCTGGCGTCTTCCCTGTCAGTTCGATGTGCGGCTTGTGGGACCTTGAACATATATTCCCACGAGGACAGCAAAGGCGCTCGATAGCTGTACATCTGCCGGCATTCCACAGCGCAATCCGTGTGCGCTTTTTCCACCTAGCACTGAACTGGCACATGTCACAGACGTGGACCACACAAGATTCGTCGCGTAGTAGTCTACACAGGTGTGGTGCACGCCACATCATAGATGTACTTGGGTTTTCCAAAGCTATCGGTGTATTATGACGATTTGCAAGGCGTATGATCTGGGTAGAGAAGAGGAAGGTGTCGTTACCAATATTTAGCTTAGCCTGGTTAGTAGCACTGAGCCCAGGAAGTCCGAGAATGTGTTCTGAGTCCCGAATAGCAGGCCGTCTAGCAATAGACCAGGTAGTACACGGGGTCCCTAACCAGATGCCAACGATGACGTTCCCGCGGATCCAACCTTTGATAACGGCCTGGAAGGCCGGGCACAGATGGTCCTGGAAAGCGTGGTTTTTGACATCCAGGCTGAGAACGGCGAACCCCTGGGACTTCAAAAACTTGCCGATACCCCCGTTGCCCGCGAAAAGCTCCAGGAAGATAACCCTCCGGTTGGTGGTGGCCTTCCTCAGCGCCCGAGTCAGGAGGTGCTGAAGGTACCGTTTCACCCGTTGGGAGTGGCTCATCTTGGGGCCACCGCAGGAATCTGAGATACTAGCCGTGCTGGAAGTCTGCTCACTGCTCGCTTGACACTGGATTCGAGGACTGCAGGCACTCGCAGCTGGGAGGGCCGATTGCCGACCCCGAACTTGATGGCCTCGGCGAAGCTCTGGTGCACCGCGCTGCCGAAGTTGAAGACGGATGGACAGATTTGGTTGATCACGCGCAACAGCTTGGTCTCTTTCCCGTACCTCTTCAAAGAGGCGACTGTCGTCCAGCGACCCCGGCGCATGACTTGTTCTGGCGTTCGCTTTCTGGCTGCCAGGTCCTCCGACGCCCCTCCGTGCCGTAGCTGATGCGGATGTGGGTCGAAGGGTCCCAGCCCCAGACCCTCGGCCACTGCGATGAACACGTCCCTGTAGAGCTCGCTGCTGAACCCCCACAGGCTCCCGTCTGGCAGGCTGGCCTGCTTCAGGCCGAGAAGGGGCTCCCACAACC